CTTTTTCTCTTTATTTGTTTCGTTATTTGGGGGGGGGTTATTGCTTGTTTGTTTACTTATTTGTTGTTGTTGTTGTTTCTTGGTGTTGTTTCTTTTCATGGGCCACGACTTCGGAACGGTATCAGAACGACCTTGAAAACACAATTGGCTGTAGGCCATTTCAACATGTCATACAAAAATGATCTTCTCTCTAATTATTTAGCATAGTCTCAATTCCATAACTCGTATATACTTTTTTTGTTCTACTGTTCACATTATAGCCTTGTACAAATTACTTTCGTCTTTTTCCGTCTGTCATCTTTTCCTCTCTCGTCCGTTTGTTAATCCTGTGATCTGTTGTCTGTCTGTTTTCAAGGCATTTCAGTGCAAGCCCTTGGCTTTTGATTATGCCTGGGTAGTGCAAATGGTGTCATCTTAGTTACTACTGTTTGTATTGTTTTCTTTATCCTTCATTAATTGTCAACATGCATACAACTTGAATGCCTTAAACGCACTATCGGAATAAATGTCAACTGAATTGAGTTGAATTGGTAGTGTTGGTATGTTTGTATGGGTTTTGTTTGGGTTAAAATGTTAGTAACAGAGCCATACAAGTAGCGTCCTTATGCCTGAGATCGGCGCGGCCACTTCAACTGTTAAAACTATTAAAAAGGGAAAATATTTCGAATAAATAAAAAAATACAACTCGCAGTTTACAGTAAAACTATCGCACTAAAAGGCTCTATTCCTTCGATTGAAAAATCCATGTTTTCCACCTAAAGTCAAGCAGCCCTAACTGTCCTGAATCCTCCAATTTCAATATGGTTTTACGCACACGAACCTAGGGGTAGGGTTATTAAAGAAATTTCTTGAAAACAATAGATGTAAGAGGGCGCCATATAAGACTAGAAAAGGGTTTCGCTTTACTTTTTTTTTATTTAACTGAGGGTTAATGCAACCACTTTCGAACTGCAGAGGGCGCGCCTCGCCGTTACCACACAAGATCGAAACTGCCGCTGCATCCGAATCTGTTGTCTACACCTAGGTCTAGTCTCCGTTCCTTTGGAAATACGTGCAGACGCCCAGACAATACACCTAGCCCAGCTCTGGAAGCCCGTTTCGGATACGACCTATTCCCCATCTATCATCACTGTTCTGACATACCGGTATTCCTCCTTTTATCATTACAAGAGCATCTGCGTTGTGGGATAAGCTTTATATTTAAAACGGAAGAAACGATTATTCCGATCATTAACATTGGATAATATGGCCATTTCACAAAAGTGCGCCACCAAGAGTTTGCAACACGTTGGCCAATCACAGTGCGCGAAATTTGTCGACCCAATGCGCGTTTGGAAAGGGTCGACAAATTTCGCGAGTTATGATTGGCTAACGTGTTGCAAACTCTTGGTGGCGCACTTTTGTGCTACTGTGAATCGCCCGTATTGTCGCATATAAAAGTACTGCACACAGGCATGTCAATATCACAATATCATAGCTATTTCTCCCGGTTTACTAGGCGTAACATACCCTTAAGGATAATCATGATATGCTCCAGATAACAGAGATATTATCTCGATCTTTCACTCAGGGTCTCAGCGACGGTCGGGGAGAAACCAATTTAAGAGAAACCCTATCTTTCCCCCACTTGGCCCTCCGGAGATGAAACCACTTCGTTTACTGTCATCCGTCTATACCCTTTCCATCTAGCTTCATGAAAATTTCTTCCTCGAATCGACCAAGGATGTTTGGCCATGCACGCGTGTGCATCGCAGATGCCGTTAACAGACGCTGACGTTTAACCATTGCTTTGCTATACAAACACTAAGTAGGTGGGATCAGCCGACCAAAGGTCCTTTTTTTCTCTCTCTCTGCAGGAGGAGAGTAAGTAAATTCTACAAAGCTCCGTGCGACAGTTTCTGTGTACGTGTGCGTGTATATGATCTTGGATGGATCGGCTGGGATATTATTACCAGGTGACATCCACCAATGCTGAGTGCGACATTCATGTGATGACCAAGTCAGAATAAACATAAATATGCACTATAAATAAATAAATACAAAATTCAAATTCATAAAACAAAAACGTGCACGGTAAATGGGCAAGCCCCAGTCGCTATACCATCACACTGGAACGTAACCGTGAAATGGGTTCCTTTAGCTTCGGGATATGTTGGCATGGCAACGTCTGGCGTCACAATACAGGGGTTTTTATTGATTTTGTTTGTTGCGTTCCCCTGTCGATATATATCATTTCCAAGGTGGCCGGGTTTGTGGCGTGTTTCAGGGCTCAGGGCCCGAGGGCGCTGGGGACGATGATCCGGCTATGTGATCGATCGGTATACAGGACGCTGTCGGGATATGAACGTACAGCAACGACTGAGCATGGGTCGACCTAATTCGTTTCATCATCGTCTTTGAGCAAACCAACTTCACAACCAGAGGTTTTTCTCCTTCACGACATACTTCTCGACAACTACACCCTAAACCACCGTTGTGAATAAAATGCAAATGCTTGCCACTGATGCCGATTTGAAGAAACAAAACATACTTGGGCTAATTTTTCTTTTCATAACTTATTCCAAACACTTAATGTGGCACAAATAATCAGATATTCCAAGCAAGTGCGTCACCATTGACTTGGTAATTTTAGCTTAGTAATTTTAGGCTGACGAAATACCTATTTCTCATATGTTTTCGAAGTGCTGAATTACAAATCCCCCGATATCTGAATGTCTTCCTTGAAAGCATCGTCCGGAGACTGTTGGCGAGTGACGTTATTGTAGTCGATCATTTCATTTTTTTCCTCCTCTATTCTCCCGCTGAAACGGTCAATATCCCCCATTGCTGCGACCTACTTAAATAATGTTGGATTCCAACAATCTTCCTCGCGTTTCTCCCAAACTACATGTACAGTACATGTACACCCCCGACATAAATGCACGACCGTTTCGCACGTGACTCTTCAGCGGGGGCCGACGGATCGCTGCCCCCCTTCCTAATCGGCTCGGGTGGAAATCCCGCAGGAACCCGCACCTGCTTTGGCTATACACTAAAATATTCTCGTCGACAACAACGAAAATTTCTGCCCACAGGAGCGATTCCTCGACGGAAGACCAAAAACGCTGCGTATTATTACCAGGGGTTGATCTCCTGCAATACCTGTGCGGTTGATGCTTTCAGTGCTTCGCATCAAATTGACCGCCGAGACGTGTTTGCGGTGATCATGCAACGTGCGTGGGCACTTTGCGCCTCTTGTTCGAGTGGTTTGCTCACAGAACACCAATTTGCACGGCGTCTTTTTCTGCGCAGGCATACGAGTGTTTGCCCACGACGCATATAAAACATACAGTCACTGTTGTTAACTTCGAGCTAACAGCAAATCATGTTTGAAAGACTACACGCAACACACTGAAAATATTGATCAAAATATCTCTACCCAATCTGGATCCGCTTATTTTACGAAACAGTATTCAACTCTTCATGTTGTCAGTAAATGAACTTCAAAGCTCTTTCCACAACCAACAAAGCCGCTCTATGTCTGAATTTACAATCTCGTTGGTAGTTTTACCCCAATAAAATTAAGTTAAGCACGAGTAAGAATTACATCAAAAAATACAGTCCTTCGTAGTCTGAGACCCTTTCCTGAACACAAAGCTTCCCATCAAATATCATTGGGAATTGAACCAATGCAATGAACTGTGATTATTATTACCCAATGGACGGGGTGTCATCAGACCATGATCTGACATTTCGGGACAGTAACAGACAAATGCAAAGATGCAAGAAGACATAAGCGGATTGAAATGAGTCTAAATATGACTCCCACCCTCCGTTGGCGATACGGTACCCTACCTCCTTAGGGAACCAAAGAAAGTCCAGCCTGGTGCCCACATTATCATTAACACGAGTGACTGTACAAAGATGA